TTTTCATATCGAATGAAGGATTTACTAAATCCAGACTTCTCCTTTCAGAGTAAAAAGGATTGAATAATAGTTGTTCCGGATTGGATATATTATTTTTGATAATATGCGGGGTGGGGGTGGAAGTGGAAGTGGCTGCAGCGGCGGGACGGAGGAGGTGGCGGTATATTACGCTTCGGAGTGAAGAATTGCTTAGGCTTAGCACCCTCGATGCGGCCATTGACGCAGCGGACCTCGCCATTGTTGCAAATTTACTTATATTGTATGTATAGATCGGCAACACAAATGAATGGGTGAGGAGGTTAATGTTATAGACGAAGGCGAGGACTAGGGTTTGAAGAGGGGGTTTAGAGGGATAGAGACTCTAGAGAGATCTATAGACACGTGTCAAATGAAGACCATCACTAGGGTTGTTTTGCTGGGCCGTAGTATTTGAACCGGGCAAGCAGAGTAGGAAATTGCTACGATGGTCCCTAATTTTTGTTAAATTAAGTAATCAAGTTATTACAATTTTTTTCATCTATGAGCACGTGAATCCAGGGGTCTAAAGTGGTCCGAATTGATCCCTTTTTAACAGGTTTTCAAAGCAAACAGTTTGAAATAATTTGCAGTCAACCTACTTGGTCCAATTCTAAATCTCGTATGTATCGGTGATAAGTGACCAGTACTGTGTCGATACATGATCCAAACATAGGCTTATACTACAGGATGCATCAAAAGAAATCACAAACTACAAACTCAAGTCAGTAACAATACAAAACGGTGAAGGAGATTATGGAAATAAAAGCACAATTATTTCTTCACTATTTGACAAAGCATTGCCAAACAGAACCTAGTGGTACCAAACTATGGTGCTACATTGTCTTGAAACAAAATATAACAAAGTTGTAGATGCAAACTTTCTGCTACCATATTTGTAATCACTCGTTGTCAACCACGGGCACCTTATGGTACAGTTCCACTTCCCTGAATCTCTGAGGAAGAATCCAACGGCCACCAAGCCTCTGCTGCAGAAAAATGATCACAGCCAACACAATGCCCCCACAGGGAATTATAACATCCCAAGCAGTTGAGTAAAAATCTGCATTATGATCTGCATAATAGTATGACGATCCATTGACATATTGTACATGACTCTGGCCACGATAAAGATCATAACCATGGGGCAGTGCACGAACCAGTGTCGTCCCGACATAAAACAGAGGAGACAACGAACTCTCTTTGGAACTGCTGAATAAGTTGAATAAGATTTGAGGGAGAAGAAAACTGTCGAGAATCAAACCAGCATAAGACCTTAAATCCCCCCACAAGGATTGGGTCAAAGGCGATTGATAGCCGTATCTCCCCCTTATCCAGTTCAGAAGTAAGGTGAGCAAGCCGCCTATAATGCATATTGGCAACGATACTAAGGCGGCCTTTTTCTCCCCAACCCACAAACTCTCTTTATTTTCATGACTCGATCTTGCTGTCCATACGAGTTGGAGAAGGCGGATTTGCAATAGAAATGCTACCATAGTTACTATCCGGACAGTTACTTCATTTGTTTCGAGCCATCCACCGGTACGAAGCAACAGCGTTTGCTTATCGTGATTTCCCAAGAAAAGGGCTTCGAAATTTAGGACAAGTGGAATCATATGTCCTAGAGAAAGTATTAAGACCATGACAAGGGAATTGTAAGAGAGTACCTGAGGATTCCATTTTACATGAAATAGTTGCAATCCCACAAAAATGCACGTAAGAGTGTTCGATATCAAAGCCATCGTGATCTCTATGTCCATTCTCCAGATCGACTGCTTAGCTTCAGTGAGATAATAGGCAGAAGAAGACATGCTCAAATCCTCAAAATAAAGAGGGTCGGATTTCTTTCGCTTGCTTTTGATGCTTCCCTTGATGAATTCTCCTCTTTTGGGGCTATTCATTGATGGAAACTCGAAATTCACAAGAATCTCACAATCTAAGGACTTAGTTCTTGATTCTTGAGTGAATGAACTCAATTCTCTGCAGCCTAGCATGCAGAGATTCCCTGTTTCAGCATCATATATCCCTTCTGCAGTAATCTCGACTTGACCTCGGGGATTTATTGACAAATTGAGAGGCGAAAACCAACTGTCCAGTTTTACTAGTGAAAATGGGTTGATGCTCAACTTGTAGCTGATATTCAAGGGGCCATTGGTTTTCTTGTCAGCTTCAGAAATCGTTCCGAACCCGGCATCAGACTCTGAATAAGTAGAGTCTATAACAATCATACCTGATTGGTCAAAGATTTCATTCCCAACGAAGAGGGGTATGGCATTACCCCAAGCAAATTCCCTTTTTGAATGTTTTACGGACATATCAAACCTCATATCATAAGAATGCCCATCTGGGTATCGCGCTCCCCCCATTTTGACAGCCTTTTTTATCGGGCATGACTCTCGTACCCGATCGAGTTCAGTGTACTCGTATTTCAATCCCGGGATAGCTGCTACATCGTTATCCCAACTTCTGAACGTGATCTTTCTGAAGTACCCTGAATCATTAACAGTTTTGTCGGTCCAAATTTGCCCAACTATGTTGGAGTTGTTTCTGATCATCAAAATTGAAGGGTAACTCAAGCTCAACCTCGTTGTACAATCCCCCACTTCACTTCCCCAATTATTAGCCCGATTCAAGATTCGGCAGGCAACAATACAGAGCCTATTATTCTTTGCATCCCAAGACCCCTCCCCAATCAAAGTTGAATTTAGATCAAACCGCCCATAAAATTCGGTGTAACTACTATTTCCAAAATTTACCGTGTATCTTAGTTTTTCTTCATCACCCGAACACTGAATCACTTGCAGATGCATAAACTTAGGCAAGTATCCTCTACCCCCAACTAAATGGGTACAGTTTTGGGATGTTTTGCACTCGGTAGGGTACTCCAATTCAAGAGAGGTGATTCCTCTGGGGAGAATAGAGCAAAAATCCCTCGACTCCAGGCTTACAGATTGGTTTTTCGGGAAGCCAACATCGCCATAACACCCTCCATTAACTTCTTCCGAAACCAACGAGTAATTATAATTGAACAGATAAGGGAAATCATATATCGAAATTGGTTCAAAATATCCCACGTCATTCTGAGGATGTATGGACTCCAAAGTACCACTGACCAAACTAGTAGAGATATTTGACTTCTCATCAGCAAACTTGAGTTTAAGAACACCATCAAGATTGAGAAATTTACCTTCTTCAGGTTGCCAAGAAGCTGATCCCACCATACAGAGCTTCCTTGAAACCTCCGACCAGAACCCGTTCAAGAGAAATTTGATTGTCCCCGAGCCACGAACAGTTCTATGATAATGGGATCCATAACTGGAACTGGTTCCATTACCATAGTACCTGTACGGCGATCGAAAATATAAGTAAGCTTCTAGTTTATAAACACCCTTGGCATCAGTTTTGTAGACATTCCGGGTGGGTCGAAATCGAAGATAACTCCCAGCATAGTAATACAACTGATTGGGTAGTTTACTGCCTAGAAGCCTGTCACCACCTGTGTAATAGCCTCCTCTGAATGAAATTACATAGTTATTATGGACACGAACCGTCGGATTGAATTTGGGGACAATTGAAGCACAGTGGTCACCATATGATATTGCAGACGTACTCTTAGAAGAAGAAGAAAAACCATAAGTTTTACAGAGACTGGTAAAGAAAAAGAAGAAGAAAATCTTAAACCACGAAGAAAACATAGTAAACAAAGAATTCATGGCCACAACAAACTGATCAAGACTAAAACAAAGAAGAAGTTTTATACTGCACTTTTTTTCTTAGTATCTGTTTACTTATTGGTGATTCATTGGTCAAGTCTACTTCAATTTTTTCTCCAAGTCTACTTACATTTTTTCTCCAAGGCTATTTCCTTGAATTTGCCACCATTGAATGGGATTTATCATCAACTGGGTCAACGATCAGGGATCAAGACATCCACTAGTATTACTCTAATCAACTAAAGTCGTATTTAAAAAAAAAACAAAAAACAAACAAACAAACATTATGATTAAATCGATATATTTTCCAACAAATTGAACAAGTCTTGGTTGACTTCGAATTGAACAAGTCTTGGTTAACCCCAACAAGAAGCAACTACCAAATAGAAAAAAAGGGCTATTTTCCGAAACTTTTTTCCTCTTACCAAAATGAGATTAAATCGATATAGTTTTCACAATGTCGAACATCAAGAAAATGACATTAAATTCTGAACTTTTCGTGCTTATGGCTGTAGATTCATTCAAATGAAAACTTATTCTCCTGAAAGTATTTATTTTTTCACCATTTGATTCCGTTATAAGCAATAAGGCCGTGAACTCTAATTTTTTGAACTCAGAAAATTCTAACAACATTATGATTTGGCACTCGAGCTACTAAAGGTTACATCAATTCATGGTGAAATGACAAGAAATGCCTTCAAATGATATTAAAAAAAGGGGAGAAGAAAAAAAACACACAAAGATGTTCAATTAACTGCATACAACTATGAAAAATTGACTGAAAGGCAATAGAATATTACAGAATATAAGAAAATAAATCTTAGAAAGATAAACAAAGTTAAAGATACAATTTTTAAGACATTTTATTTACTAAAATGCATGGTAAGCATCCTGAAGTCATTCACATTCATCGCTTTGCAATTTTAAATACAACCTAAGAAGTCAAAAACAAAATTCAAGATAAGCATGTCTTGCATGCAAAATACGTAGCCCAAGTCTAAATTGTAATTTAATTAATCTAGTAATAAAAGTTTTGGACCCCAGGTGCAGTAGGCACTTGTACATTTGCTTTTTGAGCTAAACACAGGAACTCTTGACAGTCCTTCACACCAATTTGAGAAAATGCATTTACTAACGTAGTGATGAACCGTGCCAAATTGGCCTTGAAATCATGTGAGCAGCTCTTATCACACTCGTCAACATCTTGAACACCCCCTTTGCCAAGACAACCCACCTGAGCACCTTCTATATAGGCTTTACATGCTACAAGAATATCACGAGAACGCTTGCAAAAATGCCCCACCACAAAGTCCTCGAAATGCTACGAGCAACACAACAAAAAGTCAAATCATTATATAATGAAGTCGTCACCCAAAAGGAAAGAACAAATTGAAATTAACCACCAAAATATGCAAGGATCGAAAGGCCTAATAATAACGGTAGTACATAAAGAGGATCTCAATTTCATCTTACCTTCGGTGGCCGCCTCATACTGTACACCATCGTTTGGAGAGAATGGATAAAAGTATTCTCATTGTATGTCAGAGAACACTTTTCTCCACTTGCTGAACCACTCATATTTGCATGTCCGGGCTCATTAAAATAGGGCTTAGCATTCAAAATTAAGCCTTGTATAGAGACCAAAACTTGTAG